TTTTTTTTTTTTTTTTTTTTTTTTTTTTTTACTTGGTTTGATAGGGTGACAAGGGATTTCAGGGATACAAAATTCCTTCAGCCTTCTGGAACATGGTGAAGAACAAGAGAAACATTTCCCCTGAAGGAGAGACTGGGTATTGAGCTAGGTCTCCATTGGATTCCAGGGACTTCCTCCCTAGAAAGAGACACTGTGGATAACCCAGTAGAAAAAAAAAAACTGGTTTACGTTCTTATCTTGCAGTTGAATTGTAGTAAATTGCAGCTCTGTAGGAAATGAGGATACAGTTCTGCTTCTCAGGAAACTGGCATTATGGTGATGCATGTAGGGTGGGACGAAGCTGAACAGCGCAAACCAGTTTTTAGAGGATGTTGGAGGCCGACGGTTTGCAGATAGGAGCTTCTGCCATGGAAATATGTACGTTGTAAGGTGTGCTCATGCAGACTTGCAATCTCAAGAGACTGGAGAAGGCAAAAACTTGAGCATGCCAGTTAGTGCTCTGTTTCCTGTTAATGTTCTGTTTTGAAATAATAAATTAGCCAGACTACAGGTGCCAAGATTGGAAGAAGATTGCAGCTTTTAAAATTACTTCTGTAGATAGCTCTGGCACCTGTGACATGGGATGTAGTCTAAGTAAAGTGTACATGGATAATATACACAGTGGATAAGGGTTAAAAGGAGAAAAATAGTCCACAAGAGTCCCCAGAAACAGTGCAGCTTGTACTCTGTCCTGGGAGGATAGCTGTGAGGACAGTGCTCTCTGCCTGCCCTGCTCTGGTTCCAGCCAAAGATCGGTATCCAGACTACAGGGAGTAATCCTGAGTGCCCAGTGCCTGTCTTGCTTTGCCCCGCTAAGCTGTCCAACTGAAAACCTATAGGTTATTAGAGCTTTGAGGATGTACTCCTGTTTTATATTTTTCCCCAGTGCTTATGTGGAGCTGAATCGCTCAGCTTTCTTGGAGCCAGACGGATTACCCAAACCACGTAAATCAATGTTTGTCAGCCAGAAGCTAACTGTCTCAGTTGGGGAAGTTGTAAACGGTGGGCCGTTGCCCTCGGTGCCTCACCACGTGCCTGCGTCCAGCTTCAACGGACAGAACAAGTATACTGGTGGAAGCACTTCTGTGGATCAAGCTAGTAGTGGCCAAAAATCCAGTGTGGAAGCAACAGGTAAGAGCAAACATGCTTTTTAGATACTGCTCATGAACATATAGCTGGGTCAGCTCTGTGAGTAGTTTTATTTTACAAAGCAGAAACTGTTCTTGGCTCATATGGGTTGAAATTGCATGGAAATTTTGATGTAATGAAAGCGTGTTTTGATTTAAATGTACTTATGTATCTCTAAAAGCTAAGAAGCAACCTGATTAATAAAATATATTTCCCAATACAGGAAACGCAGTAATGCAAATGAGTGCAATTTTGCCAACATAGGTGAAATAACTAGATATTTTGCTGCTTCGGACAGCCAACTTCCCTTTTCAGTTTGCAGACTTTGTATTGCAACAGTTTGTTCCCACTGTGTGTATAACAATGTTGCTTTTCAAGTTAGCTGAAGGATGCTTTTTTGTACTTGTTGAAAGTACAGATATTTTGCATTTATTCAAGAGGTGTGTGTAGGTGCTAGGTGTACTTGACTTAAAACAGTTGTTTATTGGAAAGGTTTGTACTTGGTATTGGAGGTAATGTGCAATGAAATTTTTGAAGGTTTTTTATAAAATATTCATAAATATAAATTAGTTTCTATGATATATTTTTAACTTTAAGGCAGCAAGCTTCTGTTATACACTTGTTTTATGACCTGATGAAATTTATCAGACAAGCCAGCTTTTGAAGATAAGAATAGTTTTGCTTCTATTTGTGACTGACCTGGTTTACTTTAATTTTTCTCTTCCCCCCTTCCAAGAAGGAAGAGTGGAAAGCAAAGGTGTGGATTTAGATGCCGCAGCAGTAAGAGTCCAGCCCCCAGCTCATCTTCTGCCCTCACTGTTGCCTCGTCAGCTTGTGCCAGTGGTGCCTCCTGTGCAGGCAATCTCCCAACCTGCTGGACAACCTGAGCCTCTCTCTTCAAAGCCTCAGCCTGTCTACACAGACACAGTAAGGAAATTTAAACCCATCATGAAGTATTTGGGAAAGATCTGTGAAATATAATAAAAGGTAACTGAGTTCTTAGGCTGTTTTAGCTTTCCAGAATCTGCATGTGTTATGTAGAGTCAAAAGGAGACACTCCCTGCTTCAGTGCATTGGATACTTGGAGAAGTTGTTTTCTTGGACTGTTCTGAAAAGAAAAAGTCTTGAGTGATTTCAAATGCAAGCTTAAAATGTCAGTGCTTGCTCTGACTCCTTCATAGGATAGACAGTTCTCTCTGTTTAGCATTTATTTGAGAAACCCCTAAGGTGAGAGTCAGAAAGTGGTAGTAGAAAGTGATTATCTTTGACTTAATAGGTAAACTTTGCTTTAGTGAATAATATTGAGGTGTTTCGTAATGGCACGTATTTCAAATGAGATGTGACGAAGTTTCTTCTTGGGGGTATATGACTGCTGATGTTGGGTCTTGAATGTGTACCCTGTGTATCTGTGCTGTTCCCCTTTTTCTCCCTCCCACACGTGTTTAGATATGTATTAATGCTGAACCCATCTTGGAGTGTCTCATTGCTTCGTAAAGCACAGCTGCCATATTCTACCTAAATGTGGCTACATTTCAGTGAAGATTAGACCTGGTCATTTGGAATTAAATCAGCTAGAATGAGAGAAATTCTGAAGTAAGAAAACAAGAATCCCTCTCAAAATTCACTTTTCTTAGCTATTATTTCCTTACTTGACTTGCCTATATTTAATACAGAAAGCTGCTTTTGTTTCTGATCTGTTATTAACCTTTTAGGTAGTCTAAAATTTCCAGGCTGTTGTGTTTGATTAAGTTAGCTTAGTTTGTAAGTAGAAGTAACAGATGACGATGCCTATTACAGTCAGTTAAACAAGGCTGGAAAGCCTCACTCCTAATTCACGTGTGCACCCAGGCCGTCCTGAGCAGGACTGCATCTTGATTCAGCTGCTTGCTCTGCTGTGTTGTAGCACATCGCCGAAGTGGTGGACGGGCTTGTGCACGACGTCCTCAAAGGAGAGTGCAGAGAAGTTGGCAGAGCAGGAGTGGCTTACGTGACTGCTGCCATCTGGTAAAGAGCATTTATTGCTGGTACTCTTGGAATCTGTCATCAAAGCTGCAATTTGCCGTAGCAGCACCATGTGTGAAAGTCATAAAACTAAGCAAGGCAAGGTCTGTAGTGGAGATAGTAATACTAATACAGTTGAGGGAAAAGCAGACCTTTCTTCAGATATCTGCCACCTCTCTGTTACACACCAGGTAGCCTAATGGAAGGCTGACTGCAAACCTCTGTAAACCTTTCCTTGCATGACACTCACACCACTGCCACAAGAAACGTGTGTTGTGGAAGGGAAGGTGCCTGAAGGGGGACAAGAGGAGTAAGTCCAGATCTGGCTGCTTCTCTGCTTCAAATAACACTTCATCTCCAAGGCAGTTGGTAGAGTTGTAGATGTATGTTTGTGACCAAAACAGTGTTGTTAATGCACCAATGCTTTGGTTATTGCTGAACAGCACAGTGTCAAGGCCTTCCTTGTTTTCTGCTCTCCAGTTCTGTGAGTAAGCTGGGGGTGTGCCAGAGGCTGGGAGGGGATACAGCCAGGACAGCTGACCCAGACTAACCGAAATCCATAACGTGTGATGTCATGGTCAGCAATAAAACTGGGTTAGAGGAAGAAGAAGGTGGGGTTTCCTGGCTTCCAGGGTTGCCATTGATTGCAGACTGTCTGGGCATTGGTCTACCTGTGGGAGGTGGTGGCCAACTGCCTTTGCTTTGCTTGGTGGGAGTGTGCGTGTGGGTTTTTTTTCCCCTTCACTTATTACAGTGTCTTTATCTCCCTCCACAAGTTTTCTTGCTTTTGTTCTTCCTATTTTCTCCCCTGTCCCGGTGCGAGGTGGGGAGGGAGCCAGTAGCAGTGTGCATGCTTGGCTGGTGGCTGGAGTCAGCCCACCACAACGGAGCAAGGGTATGCTTGAGAAAAGCACCGACATAGGGCTTTGAATGAAAACTTTCTGGCTTTGAAAAGAGAATTGCTGTTTCTGCACAGCACCTCGGAGGCCACTGTGGAGGAACTCATGACTGAAGTGATGGGCGAGATCCTCAGACAAGTGGCTGGAAGCGTACTTAGCACGGAAAGGGAGCGTGTCAAAGAGGAAAGGCGCAGAGTGGAGGAAGAGAGGTGAGTCCCTGCTTTTGCTGTGGGGCAGGGTGGGCTGTATACACCCTTAGGCAACATAATGACAGTTGGTGGCAACCTGAGTCCTTGCTTGCGTGTGCGCTTAGGCCCTGTGTCTTTCTGCCATGCTGACAGCAGTCAGTTTGTCTCACTTTGAACTGCCCTGGGATTGTGCAGACAGGCTGTCCCTTCTGCATTCTCCAGTGATGTGCTAGTTAGTATTTTGGTGACCTCACAGAGCCACTATGAAAATGGTGGGTGGGAATTCTGTGAACTTTTATTCACTCTGAGCTTCCAGAGAGGGAGATGCATCCCGGCCCTGCTGTGTGCAGGAACTTCTGCTTCTGAGTGAGCTACTTGTCTGTAGCTTACTGGGGTAAGAATAAAATAACCCTATTGTTATCTGTATTTTTGAGGGAAACCTGGCTCCATGCAAAGCTGTTTAGAGAGAGAAACCAGCTAGTGGGAACTCAATTTTAGACAAATTAACTATCTGACACTGCGTGTAGTGCTTGTGTAATTAAGTGGCAGGTTTGCCAGTGTAAGTGTTTTCACTTGTGTAAATCTTGCCACTCTTGTCTTGCCACTTGTGTAAATCTTTTCTCTGTCCTTCCAGGCAAAAGCAGGAAAAAGAACAGTTAATAAAGCAGTTGAGCCAGTTGGTGGGTATGGAGTTAATGGAAGAAGTAATAAAGGAGAGTGTTCAAGAAGCTTCAGCCAATGAGTTAAAGTACGTACAACATACTGTATGCTATACTTTTCTGTAGGATGCTTTCCTAAGGGTAAGAACTTGTTAGGGAGTGGTAGGCTTCTTGCTTGGCCTTCTCTGAGTTCATCTTCAATCCGCTAATTTAAAGAGAGGGTAAGTATACTTGATTGTACAGCGTGCTGCCAGTTTGCAGTTGCACTGTGTCAGGCAGTAGCAGTCCTCTAGGGTGGCGGGAATAGAGGCTTTGTCTAGGACACGGCTGCTCTGTGTGCTTATTTTTCTTATGATTCCCTTAAGGGCTCAGGTGTGTGCTCTCTTATAGACCCTTCTTTGGAAGCCCATGATCCATGTAAAACTTGAATGACTTCTGATTGATTACAGGTCTTATTTAGAAGGGGCATATAGTAGGAGTGTGGAAAATCCCTCCCCTTTTGCTAAACGTGCTGGTCTTCCCTGTTTGCACCTCAGCTAATTGTATTGGCATTTGCTGTAGTCTCCACCTCATTAGAGGTCTTGGTTTCTTTCGTTTTCAACTAGATGTGCCTTAGAAAGAGACTGGCAAGCCCGTATTGCCCGGTGTTCAGAAGAAGTCTGTGGTCACATCATGGACCTCTTTCTGGAGGATGAGATTTTCCAGATTGCTAAGGAAACCCTTCAGGAGCTCCAGTGTTTCTGCAAGTACTTGCAACGGTGAGTTGCCACCCTGTGACACAACTGCTTTTCTTGGGAGCGTTGGCACGGAGTGGTTAATAGAGTTTGAACTACAGCTGTCTGGTTGCATTGTCTTTGCTATCGTCTTGCCTCCACTATAACAGTAGACTTCAAGCCTTATTACTAGCCTCTAATAAGTTACTCGGCTGTATGTGGGGAGGGGAACACACCTCATCAGAGTCAGGTAGTGAGCTTGGTAGGAGATTTCAGGTTCATTCTATCTAGAAACTTGTAATAATTTCTCTTTGTAGTCTTTCTGTTGGATGCTTGTTTTTCTGGATGTGTACCAAGTGTTCAGTGGCTGTTGTGGTGCTCCAAGGCAGAGATTCATTTCTCCCTGTGCTGCCCCAGTGCAGTCAGGTTGAGGTGCATTTCAGGTGGCATTTCTCGCTGCTAAAGAAGCAGCAGCAGGCTAGTCTCTTTACTGTGGAGCACCTTCCCTCGCAGAGTTCTTTCTGTCCTAAAACTGAGTTTGTGTGTCTCCAGGGCGTGCGTAAATCACCTTCAGTGTGATAGGGAAGGTTAAAGAGAAGCCTAAAGATAGGAGAAACAAATGTGCCTGCAGCAGCTGAGAAAACTGGATGATGCAGGAATGTTTTTTATAAGCCCTGAAAATACCTGAGGAAACACAATAAAATATTTCGATTAATAAATTTTTGTGTTATAAAGCTGTTGGGTGGTACATGTTTTGAATCATTTGGTCATAGAAAGATAGACTAGCATCTAATGATAAAGGCTTTATTATATGTTCTCTCCTTGTTGGTGAATTCGCCTTTTTAAATGTTCCTTAAAAACAGAACAAGAAAAGATACCTTTCTTACTGCAGTAGATGTTGCAAAAGTATTGTCAGCAAGTGCTTGAGATATCGGAGAAGCTTTGTAATGGATCACTGTAAAATGCTCTATGTGCTAGGAATAAACACACTGAAAATGGGGAGGGAAAACTGTGCTTGAACTTTTGTCTGGGGAGCATAGCTAGGACAGCAGAGGAAGGGCTGAGATGGAAGAGTGGCAATCCTGCTTCCCTCTTGTGACCTCTCTGGCCACTGACAGCAAGTGCAGCTTGCTAAGCAGAAGGCTGCTCCCTTTTGCCTGCAATGGTTTTTGAATGGGGCACAAGGCTGCCCCTTCTGGACACTGCATGTGTACAGCTGGCAGGTCTCGCCCTGTGCATGCTCTGTTTGAGCTCTGACTTTGCAGCTGTGTGCAGAAATACAGCTTGAGCCCACTGCACCACCCGCATGCACCACCTCACCCTGGGCAGACTGTGACTTGTGGGGTGTTTGAGAGCCCAATCCAGTTTGAAGAGCAAAGATGAGAAAACCTGTTGGGGTTGCAGAAGAGTTTATTAATGTGACCTATTCATCTATTCTCTTCCAAAGGTGGAGGGAGGCAGTGGCAGCTCGAACAAAGTTGAAACGTCAAATGAGGGCATTTCCAGCTGCTCCCTGTTGCACAGATCCAAAAAATAAATTGAAAGCACTGTCCCCTAGTGCTGAGTGGCCTATAGCCATGGAGAACTTGTGCAAGAGAATTGTAAACCTGGGGAATGGAGGAAAGCTGGGGATCTCTTGCACAAGGTAAGGATACTTACAGTGACAGCAGTTGGCAATCTGTTTGATTTTTGGAAGGTAAGTTACAAAGTAGCGCTCTTTGAACCTTCGTTGTGAATGTTAATAGTTTTGCAAAACTGTTTGTTCTCAAATACCCTCAGAAAGATCCTTTCTGCACAAATGCCATGACAAAGACTACAAACCTAAAGAAACGCTTCTTCTATTAATGGCAACTTTCTGAAGGGTCTGCAGTACTTCACAGGTCTTAGTGAATGTTTCTTAAATTTGGTTAAAGTACTTGAATTGCTTTATACCAAAAATTACAACGAAGAATCTTTTGTTTCCAGATTGAATTGGCTGAGAAACAAGACAGCGCATGAAATTAAAGTTCAGCACTTCTACCAGCAATTGTTAAGGTATGTTGGTGTTTGATCCTTGTTTTCTTTCTAAGCAACCTGTAACAGAAATGCCAAAGATCTCAAAAATGTCAGCAAGGAATGGCAAATCATACTCCAGTGTCCACTTACAACCTTGCTCCTGGGAGTATTTTTTAGATACAGGAAACTGGAAGATAAATTCATGGAAGTGTTAAGCCATTTGATCCTTTTGCTGTGTGTGTAACTTTAAGGATCTGATGGATGTTATGGGGTTTTTTTGTACCTGGGTGGGATGGGGCCTGGGATAGGGTATAGGGGGAGAGGAGTAAATGACCTGTTACCGGCCTCGCTTGTGGCACAAAGGGATTGATCTAGGTGTTTAAAATGCAGCAGGAGGTCTGCCTTCTCGTGGCTTGTCATGCACTCTGGCCTGTGTGTTTATTGGAGCAGAGTATTGAAGCAGTGTGGAAGTGAAGCAATACACATATGGTCCCACAGTCCCCAAAGTAAGGCTCAGGTAACAGATTTAGCAGCTGCAGTTCTTGAAGGCATCTAGTGTATGATGAAATAGATGGGTAACAGATCTAAAGAATTAGCTCTAATTTTGGACTGTTTGAACTAGACAGTAGCTACTTACAGTATTTTAACTTGTTCAAAGCAAGAAAAACATTCCCCAGGTGGGAATGATCACTAGGGAGTCTTTTCACCAACTTCTGTCTCTCTTTAAGTGATTTAGCTTGGACTCCCCTGGATCTTGTGTCATTAATCACTGAGCGTATTCCAGTTCAACAAGAACAGGTTTTTTGGAAGGTGCTGTTGGTTTTGCCAAATGATGATGAATATGTGGAGGATGATCCCAACAGGTAAGTAAAAGAGTTGATTGCTGGATCCCGTTCTAACTCAGGGCAGTCAAACAGAAGAGGAGTAGTAGTATATGGTCCTTGATGTATGTTTTTCCTGTACCATGTCAAATTTCCAGTTTTTTGTTTTTTTTTTTTTTTTTTTTTCCCAGAACCCTAAAGGAAAAAAATCCCGTTCTAACTCAGGGCAGTCAAACAGAAGAGGAGTAGTAGTATATGGTCCTTGATGTATGTTTTTCCTGTACCATGTCAAATTTCCTTTTTTTTTTTTTTTTTTTTTTTTTTTTCTCCAGAGCACTCTAAGGAATATAGCTGTAATTAATTGCAGTGGTCTGTATCTTCTCCTGACATTGTTCATTGAATTCCTTTTGCTCATACTGAAAACAGAAAACCTTGAGATATGTAGCGGTGTGGAGAATTTCAGGACATTTAATAGATATTTAGCAAAATCCAAGCAATATGAAGGTTGGGGTTATGATAGATTGTGGTGTCTTAGAGGTACTGGTGCCGAAACCCAAAAATGCCATTTTTTAAAACAAAAACCCCAAAAGCCCACTCTTTCTTGTTTGCTAGGGTACTGGTGGATTGGTTGAAAGCCAAATTTATGGGAGACAAAAGCTGGAAGAAAAATGCTTCACATACAGAAGGTAGAATTCAAACACTGACGTTATTTAATTCTCCTGGCATGCAAGGGAGCAGAAGCGTTACAGTCAGTGTGTGTATAAAGGTAGGTGAGAACAATTTCGTGATACTTAACAGGCCATAAAAGCAGGGTGTGCTCTTTTCCAGTGGATGTTGTGTGGAGGCTTTTCACAGTGTCCTGTCAGGTGGAAGGAGGTGATCCTGGAAGGGGTGGTGGTGTTGAAAAGGCCTGAATAAAGATGGATTTTGTCCTTGTTTCCAGTCAACTGAGTAAATACCTGCCTAAATATAGTGCAATAGTTAGAACCTCAATCATCTCAATTCCTGATGCCAAATGAGGTGCTGAAGTGCACTTTCGTGCTCACTTGCATTGGACACATCCATGTTTGTCTGTTATAAGATATAGGATAACTCCTGTCTTAGAATTTCCAGAGCTCCTGGTAACGAATGTCAAAGCTGAATGCTGATGATAGTAAACTGCAGATTTCAGTATGAAAATAGCTTCATTTAGCTTTAGCTACATTACTGTTGTCATCTTTGTAACTTGTATAGGTGGCACATGGCACGCTGTCTGACTTGGAGCTTGATACAGCTGAGATGCAAAAAGACTTGCTTGGAACCAGTGGTCTCATTCTTCTCCTGCCCCCTCGAGTTAGGAGTGAAGATGTTGCAGAAGATGATGTTTATTGGCTTTCAGCTTTGCTGCAATTGAAACAGTTGCTTCAGGCCAAACCTTTCCACCCGATAGTTCCCTTGGTGGTTCTAGTTCCTTCTGGTCAGGAAGAGGAGGCCACAGAGAAAGAAGTAGAAGAAGGTACATAATTATTTCTGTGTCTTGAAAAAACAATGTGAATGTTTAGGGCTGCCCCAAGTAGAACTGTTGTGGCTAGTGCAATCTCTCAATGCAACATCTAGTAAAAGGAGACACTGTGAAGTACAGTACTTTTCAAAGCTTTGCTAGAAATCCAGAGGCCTTAAGAACTGATCAACATAGAAAGAAATGAACTTTCTTTTGGCTTCCAGTTTTCCTTTGCACACAGTATTTGATCCTGAGAGTCTGCGGGGAAGAGTGGAGGAGAGAAGTGATGCTGTGAATGTATGCAGAGTGTGAGACTAGGTCAGAATAGAAGATACCCATTTGTTCTTTCTCTGTGTATGTGGCGGGTTTTCTTATTTTTAAGGTTTGATGCTGCAGGACTTGATTTCAGCCCAGCTTATTTCAGACTATGCCATTGTTGAGCTCCCAGGTTCTATCAATGACTTACAAGGCACCAGAAGGGTAAGAACAGCAACTCACATGAAGAGATACTTGACTGGTTTATCATTAACCTCTCAATTACTAATGCCTTATAAGGAATTATTATGTTCTCAGTAGCTTAAATTGCAGCTGAGTCTTGTATAATGAGCTATTTTTTCTGTTGAAGTTTCTGTAACATAATTTTTGTTCAGTAAGCACTCTTAATATTTTTTTTCACACACCTGAATTTGCTGGAGTTGGGTACTCACTTGTTAATAGTGATTCCAACATCAGCCAGAACTATTCTGAAATGAAATATTTCTGCTACTTTTCCATTATTCATGACTGTTCTATTTTAACTGACTAGAGATCAGTGGCTTTTGCTACATAAAAGATAGTTTCTTCTGTGTAGTACTGAAAACTGCACTGAGATCAAAATATGCGGATTATGTAAATCCGTTCTTGTCTGTCCTGCCTGCGTTGACTAGCAGAAGTACTGTTGCTGCCTAACAGACAAGTGCTAGTGGTGGGTAAGCCTTTGTACCCTTAAGCTCCCAGTCCTAAAATGCAAATGACCCTTTGTAGCTCTTCTGGCTGCTGTGAGATCACCCAGTGTTATTCCATCTTGATGGATGGGACTTAAAGATGCTTCTCTCCTCTCACATATGTGAAGAAGGATTGTACAGATCTCTCCCTAACAGCCTCCAGACACCAGCTTCTCCCCTTGTCCTTCGCTTTGTTGTGTTCTTGGCAATAATGGCCTGGAGACTAATCAAAAACCTATGATGGAAAATGATACTTATAAGTCTAAAATAATTTTTTGTGTGTGAGTCATAGCAGGGTGGGTGGGAGGGGGTCATGGACAAGGTGTCTCAGATTAAAAGCAACTCCAGCCCTGTGTTCTTCCCTTCTCATGGTGTATGAAGAAGGTGCCTAAGAAAGAAGGTGAGAACAAGACAAGCCCAGAGTGATGCTCCCCTACAAACCCTCACAGCTTGCATCTCTCTGCAGTTCAGGGACTGCCAGGATCAGACATGGCTTCTCTGGATATAGTCACCCTGGGCTAATTTCTGTGAATCTGTCTAATTTCTCCCAGATAAGTCTTTGGCTCCCAGCATCCTGCAGTAGGGAATTCCACAGCACAAGTGCATCTGGTGCGAACAGCCTCTTTCTGTCTGTTCCTGAGCCTGCTGCATGTGAATTTAGTTTGTGACCACCTAGTTGGTGAATTACTGTTGTAAATACCGGGATGACAATAGTGCTTTGTTTGTATGTTGCTGCATAGTATCTTGAATACTGTCATGTCAAACTTAGGGTTGCAGGATTGAATCCTTTATATCCTGATCACTGCAGAGCAGTTTCCAACCACCCGTGTTTTGTGTCATAGATCTCTGCGGCTGTGGGCTGGCTGGTTTCCCAATGCCCTGACTCCCTTAAGCTCTGCAGTCAGACCCTTCGGGAGTATGTTGAGGATGGGATTGATGGTGAATTTGGCAAGCGCTTCTACCATGACTGGAAGGAGAGACGTCTAGCTGGCCTGCCATCTCAGGAGCCTGGCGTCATCATAGAGCTGTACAACAGCGTGCTGCAGTTTCTTTCGGATGTGGCATCCTCGGAGCACCTTTGTGACTTGTCTTGGCCTGTTACTGAATTTTCAGAGCCTGGGGGTAACAAGCTGTTGCCCCACCTGCAGTGGAACATGCCTGATCACCTGGCCTGGCTGAAGAAGGCTGTGCTGTCCTTCCAGATCCCGTACCTAGATCTGCCTCCATTAGGTGGTATGTACTTCATGCTGTGGTATCCTCTTAGTGGCACGTCATTCTCTCTGATGTGCCTGCACTGTGTTGAACTACCAGCCTGTAAGGTGGATAGTTTGACTCTGTCACAAATTCTTGCAATTTACTCTGTTTTTTTCCATAGCTCCTTGGCGTCCTGTTTGCCGCATGATTTTTCAGTATGTGTCTCAGATTGCTAGTTCTTCCCATACTCAACCACTGATCCAGTCTCAAGTGGAGAATCTGCTGAGCAAAACTTACCAGAAGTGGAAAAACAAAACATCTGGGAACGCTGATGAAGGTGGACCTTCTGTTGATGAGATCCCTTGGGATGATATCTTGGCAGTCTGCATTGATCATAAACTGAGAGACTGGAAGCCACCCAGACTGCCTGTTGCTCCAGGTATTGCCTGTCCTTCTACAACATGGATGATACTTCTTGCATAACTGTGGTTAATAACTTGACAGTGGTGCCTTTATGTGTGGCAGCAACTGATATGTAGCAGGGAGGGAGCTATGGTCTTGCTCCTGTAGATTGACACTGTGCTTTCTGTACATCTTTCTGCTCTTTGGAGTGTGTATTTAGTGTTAATTATGACTTGACTTGAGCTTATGAATAAAAATTTTTTGTCCCTGTGTGGAGGAATATGGTCAAAGTCTTTCAGCCCTCCTTTTCTGGTAGAAGAGGGTTTACATTCAACCAAAGGCCAAGAATTGGTCCCTCAGAAGTCGTGTAAGCTCAGGTCAGCTGAGATGGCAGGCTGCCACTATTAATGTGCACTTCCATGGATTAATGAAGTTTGTCTTGGAATCTGTTTGCTTTCAAGTGTGTGGGGGTTTTTTGGTGCCCTGTTTGGCTTAACTGTAGGGAGCCTCTTTTAATGAAATGACTACTTAACCCACTGAACACCAGACTTGGATGCACTAGAATTTTTAAAATTAAGATAAAGCAGCATTTCACAGTCTTTCCCAGTAATCTGGTATCTGTTGAACAGTAAATTGGTTCAAGAAGGCTCCTTTTTACATGGAGATTACAACTTAAAGCTACTTGAAAGTGAACACGCAATTTTTTTTTCAAATTGGCTTCTCAATATGAGCTTTTCTTCTGAAGGGGAAAATCTGTTCTAATATTAAACGTTGGGTTCGGGTTTGTTCACAGAAGCAGTAAGTGAAGATGGTCAGATTCGTGTGTACTTCTTCAAGGAGCATTTAAAGAACTTCACTCTCCCTTTTTCCTGGGAACGAGCTAGACTGCGCACGCAGGAGGAGGTCCGGCAAGGCCACGAGAGGTGAGGCAGCTGCTGGCGCTGCCTGTGGGAGTAGCATCCAGCTGTCCGTTGTGCCATCAGAGTTGCTCGGTGAACTCTAAGGAGGTTGCTTGGGGCCTCTGTGATGAACATACAGTGCCATCACGATGCTGAAAACCAGCATATGGCATCCTCCCAGAACGTGCTTCTGTACCTCTCCTTGAAATGATGTACAAGGCTGTGCTGCAACCAGGTAGTAAGCAGATTTTATTTCTGCAGGGTTACTCAGCTCTCAAAGAAATGGATTGCTTCAGGGGCACTTAAAGCATTATAAATGGAGAAATTAACTTCTGCCAAAGAAAACACTGCTGAGGCTTTGGAATTAGGCTTGTACTCTAGGTACACAAAGCATGGAAGAAAACCAGTGTGAGACTGGGGAGGAGCATAGGGATAAATCATGGGTGTGCCCTTTATTTAATAGTGCCCCCTCCCTTACATTCACCTTCTGTTGCAGCCTGGACCTCACAGATGAATTACATGTTAGGTGATTTGCAGATTTATTCTTTGGTAACTACATGTTAATTTTGCAGCATTTTGAGTTCAAAAGGAGACTTTGTTCCCAACTTGTAGGAAGACATCCGGAAAGTCCCACTGCTAAGAGAAAATGCTAGAGGTTGAGGGGGGAGGGTGCCTTAGAGCTGTGTGGCATTAAAGTATTTGAGATCTCAAGAGTCTAGCTCACTTCCCTAGCCTTGTTCAGAGTGAAGCCAGTCTCTCTTCCCTCTTGGAAGCTTAGCTGCTTCTCTGCTATGTAGCAGGAGATGTTGGGTAGATCCCTTTCTTTGGGGTGAATCCCAGCCCCCTGTCAGGTTAGTTGCTCTCAAATCCCACACACAAGTGGTGCTATGTTGGACCCTGGTACAAGGGAATTATGTCTCCAAATGATCAATTCTTACTCCTTGCCATTTCCAAACTTCAAGCCAGTAGGGAAAAAAAAATCAACACGCTCATACCAATTTGTGTGCTTCTGTTTGTTTTTGTTTTCCTCCCCTCTCAGGTCAAGGGTAAAATCTCCGAACTCTTTTAAGAAAACGTATAGTGTCTCCGTGATGCCTGGTCAATATGATTCTGGCATGAGCATGCTGTCAGGTCAAGAAAAGAGCATTCCCAGTGCAGATGAATTCACAAACACATCCTCAGCCCAGGAGCTTCTCCCAGAGCGTCTGTTGGCACAGTTGCAACTGGAGAAAATAGAAAGCAGGAGGTAAGTTCCCAGAGCAGCATCCTTTCCTTGCAGCTCTGCCCCAGGGTTATAACCAATTTCTAACTTGTATGTAATGGGAAGCTTAAGTCCAACAGTGCTAGGAAACAGCCTAGACTATCTCCAGTTTCATCTAATTTCATCAAGGACATCAGGGCAGTGCAGTTCCCTGCTAGCTCCTACTTGCATCACAGGAACAGTCCAGGATGGTAGAAATACTTGGAGCTTTGAGGGACAGTTGGAAACTGTCTGTGGTCAATCAAGCCACCAAAATGAAAGCAGTACAGTGTGTACAGTAGTCTGTGTGTCCTGCAGTATCACAAATGTCTATAAAGTCCACTTTGAGATGTCAGTTTAGTGCCTGTAGCAATGCAGATCACAAAGCTGAAGAACTAAAGCTTTTGAGGTTGGCCCAAGGGTTTCTTGTCTTTGCTGCCTTTCCCATCAGTTGGGTGTCTTCAGTCTGTGTAGCTCCTTTCTGTACCACAGTCTTCTATGATGGATTTTCATTACAGCAGTGGGGTATGTCAGACTGTGTTGGAAATGACTGTGAACATCAGATCCTTCTTGCAGACACTTCTGAAGCCAGAACTCTTGATTAACCCACTGGTTACAAGAACAAAGCTAGGCTGCAAATGTGACTGGTGCTCTTGATCCTTCTGTCCAGGTTTGAAGAACAGTTGCACCAATGTCTAGCTGAGGACACTGAGCCCCTTGGTGATTTTGTAGGTCTTCCTCTCTACCTTCCCCAGTCTCTGGTCTCCACCCCAACTGTCACCTGTCCGTTGATGAAGAGTCCTGCGTCATCTGCTCAAGAGGTAAAAAAGGGTTGTATGGAGAATTAACTGTCGCTCTGAGGAGTGCAGGTGCCAAACCTCCTGTAGTTACAAAACCTTTAGTGGGAATTACATTGGTATGCAGTGTTGGATAGACTTGGGAAATAAAGAATTGAAAAACTGCAGCTTGGAAATAACTTCTTTCCAGGGAGGGGATTGCTTTCTGCAGATCTGGAATAAGAGTTCTTCACAGGTGTTAATGCTTTCTGCTGCTGGCAGTCATAACAGTATCTCTTGTGGTGCTGCACTTTAACTTAGGGAATCAGTGTTGTGGGTCAGCTTCCCCTAGTTAAAGGCTGAGGACAGAAATAGCAGAACATGCTATTTTTGCCTTACCTCCTTGGGTGGGGGCTGCTGAATCTCCATGGTTGTTCTCAAAAGTGAGGGAACAGCCAGTGAGCTGGCAGGTTCCTTATTGGTACTGGGTAATGCTTCTTTCTCAGTCTCGTCTCTTTTCCTTCTGCCCAGGCTGGGAGTCAAGAGGGATGCAAGCGTTTGGTGGAGGAGCCAAGCCCCACACTGTCGGACAGACTGAAACACTTGAAACAGCTCCTCAGAGCGAACAAGGAGGGTGAAGTTGCCTCTGAGCTCCACCTATCTGCTCTGGTGGACATGGTGGATATTTGAGCAGAGCTGAGCTACATGTGCAGACCAAGAGACCTGGTAAAGAAATCCAGGGCCAGGTGATTGAACAGATAAGCTCCTGGGGCATGTTTCAGAAAAAGCAGGTGTCCTCCCAGGAGAAGAACACAGAGCAGATGTAGAGCCTGGGCCCTTCTCGTATGACTGCCTTGCACAGAGAGGTGTGTTGCGGCTCACTGTGTCCCTTCAGCTCGCTGCTGCGCTTTGGCTCATCTGGGCCTCCCTCCTTTTCTGCTTCACAGGCACGGAGACAAGTCAAATCCTTTTCTTGGAAAGCCTTAAATTGATGCTTTGGTAATTTTTCTTTCTACCAGCTCTCATTGTGGGTTAACATAGCTTAATCAGGAGAAAACTGTAAGGTAGCAGGAGCCCCAGGAACATCAGAGCAATTGCTCTCCATAGTCATAGTCCCCAAGATGTTGTCCCAGCTCTGTGCTTGCTTGCTTCATGCAGAAGCTACCTTGCAGCAGCGCTGTGGTTTGAAGTTGCTGTTTTGCTGCCCAGGAATGTCAATGCTGTCATTCTCGAGTCGGTGCAATTCTTGGCCGTATTTTGTACTTAATGATGCTCAGTGCAAATCCAGAAGGATTTTCGTGCTGCTCAGCCCAAGTTTTATTGTACTGAATATTTACGGCATTAAAACCGGATGAGTTGCTTAATCTACAGATTAATTGTCATGCTGGAAAGCAGGACATTTTCTTCAGTCTTCAGTAAACAGCTATGGAGAAATGATTTTCCTTTTTTGGAAGAGCAGATTACCTGCATTCTCCAGTATTTAAAAAGCAGTGGCTTTGGAAGTTGAAGACTTTTGGGTTTAGTTTAATATTCATTCCCAGTAAATAGTAGGAAGATGTATTTAATGTCTGCAGTACTACTTTTTTTTTTATTACAATATCAGCAGATTTTTCTGTCAGAAACTTTTGCCTGATGAAATACAAATTACTGCAGCTTTGGGGGTAAACACTGATTATCTTGCCTACCAGAGACCAGTTGTCTGACTTGCTTCTAATTTAATTTGAAATTCTCAGTAGTCCAAAACTGTCAGCTACCTTCCAAAAAAGTAATTTTATAGTTGTTTGGGTTTTTTTTTAAATAGCATTTGTATTATTTCCTCTTAAGCCTAGAATAGCAATAGTATGTTAATATTAAGTTGAATAAGAAGTTTAAACTGAAGAAATTACGCTTTGAGTCTGTTCATACTACATCTACTTTTGTTGGGCTGAGTTGTGTCAACTTTGACTGGTTGCGTGCGAAGCAGAGCCTGTGCGCCGCTCTCCGCCGTGCTGCCACTGGCATTCTCCGTTCACCTGGAATTCAGCTGTAAAAACCCAAAAGTGTTTTGGGACGTGGTTGCACCATCTGATGTAAATGTGTTTTGTACCTAATAAATTTTTAGTGGCGTGAAATGTGCTGTTGCGTCATTGCTACGTTAAGCTCCTGGTACAGGGTGCTATCACTGTGTGCTGCTTTTTTTTAATCCCTGGGTGGGCTAGTGTAAAATACCCCCCTCTGCCGTCCCGCGGCGCGGGGGCAGTCCCGGGGTCCTGTACATCGCTCCCTGGCAGCCCCTGTCTCCCCTTGCCCCCGGTCCTGGCCCCTGCGCTCCAGCCCCGCGGCGCGGTGGGGAGCAAAAGGTGCGACGAGGGTGGGATTCGAACCCACGCGCGCAGAGCGCAATGGATTAGCAGTCCATCGCCTTCACCACTCGGCCACCTCGTCCTGCCCCTC